ATATCATGAGACAACTGTTATAAACCCTCCAAGAATGTAAAACACAACCAGTGGAAACTGGCAACATCAAGTATTTGGTTAAAAAGACTTTACTCTGGAGTCACTGGAATGCTGTAAATCGTAGGATACATTTAAAATCAACAGCCACAAGGAAACTACATGCTTCTGCCTTGTAAGTACTTTTTAGGAAATAATAAAATCCTATTTTAGCATGCTTATCTTATATCAGAAGTTTAACATTTAAAAAACCTATAATAATCTTACTTAGATGTTCTCTGAATGTACTTTCCTTTAATGATAGAAGTATAATTATACATCTAAGTGTACAGCCTATCAATGACTGCATTATCTGAAAAATACTGTGGTTACATTTTTTTTTTTTTTAAATTTGAGACAGAGTGAGGGAGCAGGGGAGAAGGGCAGAGGGAAAGAGAAATCTTTTTGTTAATGTTTATTTTGAGAAAGAGAGAGACAGAGAGCATGAGCAGGGAAGGGGCAGAAAGAGAGGGAGAGAGCTCCATGTGCAGAGACCAATGCAGGGCTCAATCTCACGACCATGACATCAGGACCTGAGCCAATATCAAGAGTCAGACGCTTAACCAACTGAGCCACCCAGGCACCCCGAGAGAGAAGCAGGCTTCACACTCAGTGCTGAGCCTGATGTGGGGCTTGATTCCATGACCCTGAGATCACAACCTGAGCCAAATTAAGAGTTGGATGCTCAACCGACTGAGCCACCCAAGCACCCCTAAATATCTTTAGTTAAAAATATCAAATGACTAAATGTCCATCAACTGACGAACGGATAAAGATGTGGTTTATACATACAATGGAATACTACTTGGCAATGAGAAAGAAGGAAATCTGGCCATTTGCAGCAACGTGGATAGAACTGGAGGGTATTATGCTAAGTGAAATAAGTCAGGCAGAGAAAGACAGAAACCATATGTTTTCACTCATAGGTGGATCCTGAGAAACGTAACAGAAGATCGTGGGGGAGGGGAAGGGGAAAAAAAAAGTTACAGAGAGGGAGGGAGGCAAACCATAAGAGACTCTTAAATACTGAGACAAACTGAGGGTTGACGGGGAGTGGGGGAGAGGGGAAAGTGGGTGATGGGCACTGAGGAGGGCGCCTGTTGGGATGAACACTGGGTGTTGTATGGAAACCAATTTGACAATACATTATATTTAATATAAAAAAAATCAAATGAGGGGTGCCTGGGTGGCTCAGTTGGTTAAGCATCCAACTCTTGGTTTTAGCTCAGGTCATGATCTCAGTTTTGTGAGTTCGAGCCCCATGTCAGGCTTTGCATTCAGTGTGGAGCCTACTTTGGATTCTCTCTCCCCCCCTCTCTCTCTGCCCCTCACTCACTTGCACTGTCTCTGTCCCTCTCAAAATAAATAAGCAAATTTTTAAAAAATCAAATGAGGGGCGCCTGGGTGGCGCAGTCGGTTAAGCGTCCGACTTCAGCCAGGTCACGATCTCGCGGTCCGTGAGTTCGAGCCCCGCGTCGGGCTCTGGGCTGATGGCTCAGAGCCTGGAGCCTGTTTCCGATTCTGTGTCTCCCTCTCTCTCTGCCCCTCCCCCGTTCATGCTCTGTCTCTCTCTGTCCCAAAAATAAATAAACGTTGAAAAAAAATTTAAAAAAAAAAAAAATCAAATGAAAATCTATTTCTAAATGTATCCTCATAGCATCTAATTTCATTACTCACGATTAGAAAATACTTGAAAACTGGGAAGTTTTATAGAAATTAGGATAACTATATCATGAAGCTGACTTAATCAGAAATATATGGTGTACCTTATCCCAACTTAGGATAAAAACTCCTTCACTGGAGTTTGAGATTATGATTGCCATAAAATAATGCCATCACTTTTCAAAGTGAAATAAAGTAGCAATTTTTATTTTATTTTTTATAAATTTTTAAAAACGTTTATTTTTGAGACAGAAAGAGCATGAGTGGGGGAGGGGCAGAGAGAAAGGGAGACACAGAATCCAAAGCAGGCTCCAGGCTGTCAGCACAGAGCCTGACGTGGGGCTTGAACTCACGAACTGTGAGATCATGACCAGAGCTGAAGTCAGACGCCTAACCAACTGAGGCACCTAGGCACCCCTAAAGTGGCAATTTTTAAATCCATAACCTTCCCATCCTTTGATGCTTTTATAGATCACTGAGTTCAAATAAACAACTCAAATGGGGAAATCTGAATGGTAAGTTTTCTATATAGATAAGATAAAGTAAAAATACTTATCATGTTATTCAGATTAGCTCAGGTTTAATATCAAAATAGCTAATTCTAGGTATTCCTTGAAGTTAACACTCAACTTTTACTTTATTAAGGTATCAAAGGAATGATAGTCCCTTTGGGGACTAAGGTTAACCCAAGGCCCAACTTTGGTCCTCCCTGGGTTCCTAAAGAAGGTATAAAATAAGAGACAATAAAGGACCTTGAAAATGAAGCACAAAGAAATTGAGTGTCTAGAATTTAGGTCATCTGACCTTCAATTCAGTGTACTTCTTTGATGTTTCTTTGGGTTCAGGTTTACCCTCTTTGTTAAAATAAACCTTAGCAATCCGACTGGCATTTCCCCGTGCTCTGGTTCTCTTGTGCATCCTGATTTCTTTCTAATACAACTGCATGTAATGGTTTCCCCAACTGCTTCCCTCTGGATCATGTCATGCTATAGGCATTTCTGCCACTCTCCTGGAAGAGCCTGGTCTACTAGGATATGCTGAGATCTCCATCTGGAGATCTCCATCCTCCTTGCCTCTTCAAGCATTTAGAGTTACACATTTTCAAGTTAAAAATGAATGCTATCTAGACCCAAGCAGTCTGCCCTGTATTATAAACTTTAAAATGCTCAGTATTCTACCTTTTAACACATACAATCTTGGCTTCCTTGAATTTTGGAGGAAGAAGATACTATGCCCAAGAGTCAAGTTTGACTGGCTTAGTGAGCTGGCACATTTCTTCACTGGCCACTCCCCAGTTTGCCTTGACTTAAAAGGAAATATAGCAAACCTTCTCTTTCAGGTAATGGAGGAAAACAACAAAGAAACAGAACAAAAACCATTAATAAACTAAAACAAAAGAAAAAGAGAACCCCAAACCTTTTGTTCTTAGCAGTTGTACCAAAATGATTTGGGTTGTTTTCCTTAGCTTTGGTAAAGAAATTTAATTATTTGCCTAACAGATTAGGTAAATAAGGTGACCATAGTCAAGTTGATGCATGCTTATTAACTAAGAAAACGAACAATTCCATTCATGTAGCCATTAAAATAGTAGCCAATGGCTACTATTTATAATTATTCAAGGTCAGATAAGTACAACAAAAAAAATGATGAGGCAATCATTTTGATGGATAGCACTACTACTGTCTCCCTTCTACAATCCTTCTGGAGCCATTTACATGTTATCCCCACACTGGCAGTCTATGACAAGGAGGTGGCAAATGCTCAGAGTGCTGCAGAAGTGTTAGAATGTTGGACACGTCACCAGGTTGTCAGGAGAGTTGGGAGAGTATATATTAGTTCCACAGCCTAGAGAAGATGAGATGAGACAACTATCCAAAAAGTGATTTCATTTTTCATAAAAACCCTCAGAGGTGTTTTCTTAACAGGCTTATGAGACTGAAGCCATAGTATACTCAATAAGAATGCACCAAGGTATGAAATAGGAGTAACATTTACATGAATTAAGTAAGAAAAATATGGTAAATGTTAAGAAAGGGACTGAATCTGAATGAGGTAAGAGACAATAAAAGAAGGAAAAAATATTTAATGATTGACTAGAGGTAAATTCCAAGGGAACAATGTAAATGGTTTTGTTTAAACATGAATTTGTATGAAACTGACTTTAAAACTTTGCTAAGCAAAACTGAAAGAACGCACCTTTTACATCAGTATTTCTGACTAATTACATAAGCGTTTGATTACCAATTTCAAAAATACTGATTTTGGTTAACATGGATGTTGTAACCCTAGATAGCTATCTCTGCAAAACCCACAAAACTTTCCATCCTTTCCTCATCTGAGACCTTAAATCTTTAGGGGGAAGGAAGGGAGTAAAACATGAACTGCATGTAAACATACTACATGAACAAGTCTAGGGAAGACACACCTGGGTAGCTCAGTCAGTTAAGCAGCTGACCGACTCTTGGCTCAGGTCATGATCTCATAGTTTCATGAGATCCAGCTCCATGTAGGACTGAACGCTGATGGCGCGGAGACCGCTTGGGATTTTCTCTCTGCCCCTCCCCTGTTTGCTCTCATTCTCTTTTTTTTCCTCTCAAAATAAACTCTAAAAAAAAAAAAAAAAACCCAAAATAAAACAAAAACCAAAAAACAAAAAACAAAAAACCCAAAAAACAAAAACAAAAAAAACTTCCTCAAATAATACAGTTTGTTAGAACCCAGCTCTCCTTACATTTCTCTGCAGTGTTTTTTCCATTGCAATACATGCAATGCTCAGTTGATCACATAAATGTTTGTATTCCCAAAGGCAAAAACTTGAACACTAGAACTGTTGTAGAGAATACTTCTTGAAATAAGTTAAAATGGGATTTAAGAATTTCTTAATTGTACATAATGCTATTTTAAAATATTTTAACCAAAATAATTGTTTTTAATGTTTATTTTTGAGGGAAAAAGAGAGAGAGAGGGCCTGAGTCGGGGAGGGGCAGGGAGAGAGGGAGACACAAAATCCAAAATAGGCTCCACGCTCTGAGCTGTCAGGACAGAGTTCAACGCAGGGCTCGAACCCATGAACCATGAGATCATGACCTGAGCCAAAGGTGGACGCTTAACTGAATGAGTCACCCAGGTACCCTTAACCAAAGTAATTTTCAACTGAATTTATCCTGTAAGTCTGATTATTTTTAAATTTTAATTTGAAAGTCATACTGGTATAATAACTAGCTACTTGAGCTAATCAAGCTACTTAATTACATTTTAGAATTTGAAAATATTTAAAGAAATGCGGAGGGAAATAATTTTACCTTACTAAATTTTGCTGCATATATTCAACCTTCATTAAAATTTGGACCCCAGTCTGAGAGCGAATGTAGGCTTTCAACCTGAAATAAAAATGTCATATTGAAGGAAGCAAAACTGATTTTTAATATGTTTCAAGACAGTATCTACAGATTAAACATTTATGAGTAGCTAACAATACTTAAAATTCAACTAGCGAAGCACAGAAAAGGGGTTAAAGATATTTTCTAGCCAAGGATCTGAATTTTAAAATATTACCTTTCGGGGCGCCTGGGTGGCGCAGTCGGTTAAGCGGCCGACTTCAGCCAGGTCACGATCTCGCGGTCCGCGAGTTCGAGCCCCGCGTCGGGCTCTGGCCTGATGGCTCAGAGCCTGGAGCCTGTTTCCGATTCTGTGTCTCCCTCTCTCTCTGCCCCTCCCCCGTTCATGCTCTGTCTCTCTCTGTCCCAAAAATAAATAAACGTTGAAAAAAAAAATTAAAAAAAAAAAAAATTACCTTTCTTCTCTCTGTACAATATGTTAATTTCAAAAAAAAATATCTATTTCAGTAAATTAAGTTAATCTTGCTATTTTATTTATTTTTTTAAAAATGTACCCAATTTAGTGACAGGTACTTTGTCTTACTGCCAAACATATGACCAATGACGACAACTGGATTATCAATAATAAGAAGGAAAGAAATACAACTATTATACATATTCCAAAGACACTGCTTGATATGGGACATGATTCTGGTTCAGTCTGGGTACAACCTTTCATTGGCACTAGAACATGAGATTTAATTAGAATTGGGTCAGACATTTTAGAATCCACTCAGTTTAAAATTTAAACACTAGGTTACTCTGGAACCAAAATAAGCAGGTATCATCCAGAGAAAAGAAAGTCAACTGGGTTCCTGCTCAGGAAAACTAATCCACATTCTAATAAGAGTTTCCTATTTTGAGTGCTGCCTACTGTGTGTTAGACCCTGTATAGTAACTATATACATATGCCTTTTTTTTTTTTTTTTTTTTTAAGCTTCAAATAACCTTATCTAGTAGAGAAAATTAAGGTCTGGAACTTAGGTAACTTATTCCTGATCACACAGCTGAAAAGGGACAGAGCTGAGCTAGCTATTCTAGCCCATTTGTGTCCACGCTACACTTCTGGAGATGAGGCAGAGTGTATCTTAATTAGTTTTATGAAGACCTGGCTGAAACAGAATTTTCCTGTCTTTTATAAGGGTTACTTGGAAACTCTTAATTTCAGAGTTTTTGACTCAATTTTAAAGAAGTTTGATTTAAGGGTTAAGAGTGCAGACTCTGATTCCACACTGGCTGGGTTTAAATCCCAGCTTCCCTGCTTATTTGCAGTATGAAGTCACTTAAGCACTTTAAGGTTCCCCATCTGTAAAATGGACATATTAGCAGTAATCTACCTTCAAGGGTTATTGTGAGGATTAAATTAATTCATACATTTTTTATTATCTGCTTCAACGAGTATCTAGAAAACAGTGAATACTAAGTGTTGAGAACTGTTTTTGTTACTATCCAAAAGCATCATCTGTGACTGAAAAAGCCTTGAATAAATACCAAGGAAATGACACAGAAAGTAAACTGCACTGGCATATCACAGTCTAATAGTGTCATGGCTTTACATAATATTCACATAACCAATACCTCAATATTTTTAGTAATTTCAGAAAATTACAAGATTTTTGAAACATACCTTTGACGAATTACAGGATCAGCCTTTTCAGGATCAATGTAAGGTTTTAGGATTTCATTAATAGTTTTATCATCTGGTACTCTTCCCAACAACAAAAAAACAAAAACAAAACTTATTATTTATAAGTTTCTACTAAAGGTGTTAACTTAGAATTACTAAATCTTGTGGCTTTTTTGTTTAAATAACTGAACACAGACCTTTTATTTTACTCTTGGCAAAATATAACATCCTTTTAAACAAAAATTACTTAGGAAAAAAGCTCAAAAAGGCTTCTTGGACACACTTAACAAAGTCCTAAAAAGCAATATTTTGAGAAGCTCCCTATAAATCAATTATAAAAACATGAAGCCTCTTTTAACACACACCTGTGCTCAAAGATGGGAAGAATGAATTCAGGATGAAATATATTTGAAAGCTACAGAAATTAAAAACCTGAAAAAAGGTTTCAGATGATGCTAATTTCAGTGCATGTTCAAATTTATTCTTTCTAAATAATAAGACCAGGGTAAAAATTGATACTACTGTCCCTGGAAATAACATATTTCAAGTTTTTCAACTTTCCTGTAAGTATGCACACTGTTTTGAACTATAAAGCTACAGAAACAAAATTAAGACACTGAATGTGTAGCTTTCCTCATTTATACATTTTCATATATACCAATGTGCTACATACCCCTATCTAAAAAATTGAAGTCCTTTCCCTGACTTTAGTCTGGCATACAACTTCAAATAAGGAAGTTCTTCACTAAAATTCATAGCACAGTTGCAAAGAGAGGACACTTAATGCAAAATGTGGATATATGCTCAGTATATTACTTAAAAAGGAACTGGAAAATTTTCCGAAGGAACCAAATAGTACACAGTCATTAAAGTTTTTAAATGACACTTAAAAATATGCAAATATGAAAAAAGTAGGAAAAAAGTTGTTTATGCAAATTAATTCCAATTTTGAGTATACATATTTTGAGGGCTATACCACAATGTTAATAGCAGTAATCTTTGCATAGTAGAATTCTGGGTCATTTTTCATTTGTTCTACAACCACTCAACTTAAGAAATTGAAAGTTTTTAGCCCTCTTGTGTCTCCTTGCAGTTTTCTCCTTATGTCTGCTCCCCCTGCTGAAGGAAACACCATCATGATTTCCCTTAGAGTTTTACCAGCTCTGCAGATAGTTCTAAAGACTACACTGTTTTATATTTAGACGTAGAATCACACTCTATGCATTCTTCCTTCATTTGCTCTTCTCATTCAACATTATTTCTAAGATTCAACCATGTTGATGTAGCTGTAGTTGATTCATTTTTCAATAGTATTGAGCATTTCACTGAATCAAGATACCAACAACCGAGTTATCCATTCTACTACTGACATACATTTACTGATATCACATTTAAGTTAACAGTTTATTTTAAATACAAAAACACAATAAAAACAAAGGAGTTCTTAATAAACATTGGTAGTACTGTACCTTTTTTCTATGTACACAGCTTGACTCTGAGGAAATTGGAGCTTCACATGCCAACAAAACTGCTGTTTTCTAAATGAAAAAAGAATCATATGAGGATCAAGGTAGATAATAAAAGTGTGCGCACAAATCAAACCTCCTGAGCTTTCATTTTCAGATAATAATTTGAAAAGTATTCCTAGAATTTAACGTATCTTTTCTACTATTTCTTCTAGGATTTCAGAGACTATGTTTTTTAAACAATATACTTGCAAGGATTTTTAAAAGGAAAGCAAAATTAAGTGCAGCAGTTCTGAATTACAAGGACTTTATATTCCTGAATTAGAAGGCAATTTGTCACAGTTCAGGGGCTTTTGAGATCAGTGTGCTACTACTTGAAGTTTACAAATAAATTTGCTCATGACCAAAAATAATGAGCTGATGTCTTTGCCTGACTAGTCTGGAAATTAGGTGAATCAAGTGTTGTCCAGTTGCGACCAGCTGGCTGCAGATACTTCTTAGCCATGAGTACGTGCATTCAGTAGCAAAACAGTAGACAAGTTGGTTGCTAAGCAGAATGCACTCTGAGCTAGAGTCCCTTTGCTTCCAGGTCGAAACTTTGGTTTGATACATGATCAACAGTAATAATTCACTAAATGTCTAATTTTGGAATGACCATGTTCTATTTAACATATCTAAGTTTGGTGACACTATATACCTAATGTTAGAAATACTGAATCCAATACAGAAATTTAAATGTTTTCACTGTATGATGGCTTTTACATGTTTTCATTATTTAGGAGAAATTTCTAACAACCCATTGTCAAGCAAAATGGCCAGCTTCACTTATAAATCTATCCTTTAGCAGCCTGGCTCCAAAATCTCAAATAGTTTTATTTTAACACAGTCTAGTAAAATATCTCCCACCAAACATTCATATGATTTAGTCAAATTTCTGTCAGAAGACAATAACCATAAAATCAAGTAAAAATCCTTCTATTAGGGTAAGTTATCACAGATCTGCTTATGGAAGTTTTCTTTAGTAACAAGACAGTTTTTGGCATTAGCTAGAAAAAATATGCTTGCTTATGCTTACGTTGAGAGTGCCACTTACCATATAAGAAAGTCATGTTAGTATGTGCTTTTTTGATAGAACAAAGGCATAAACACCCTTCACTAATTTAAAGACCAGATATCTAAAATCTCAGAGGAAGAAACCTTAAAAAAATCTGAATGCAAATGTAAGTTAATGGTTTTAAATAAACAATTCTTCTAAAAGAAAACACCCCTGCAATGTTCGTTATCTATGAAAGAGGCAGAGCATCATATCACCATCAAGAAACTCAGAGGTGATACCTGGGTGGCTCAGTCAGATGAGCAAGTGACTCTTAATTTCAGCTCAGGTCAGGATCTCACTGTTTCTAAGACTGAGCCCCTGCACTGGGCTCTGCGTTGACAGTGCAGAGCCTACTTGGAATTCTCTCTCTCTCCCCACCCCCCTCTCTCTCTGCCCCTCTCCTGCTTGTGTGCACTCTCTTTCAAAATAAACATTAAAAAAAAAAAGGGAGACTCAGAGATTCCACATTTCCTTGTAAGAAATTGACTTTTTAATCCTGATGTATAATATGGTTTCTTTCTAAATATATTTGTTTTTTCCATGTTAAGTTATAGGAGAAAAAAAGATTATGAACTTGTCATCTTGCAGAATTCTAAATCATATTAAGTTACCCCAATCATTGCTTGAGTAATTTCAAGAACCATTTATCTTTCTTAACACTCAGTAGACCCTAAATACCATCAGAAAGTACTTAACATTCCAAAAACAAAGGGAGAAAAGCCCTTGGAAATTATTTTGCTATAGTTAACTAGTTTTGATTGTAAGGAAGTCATTCACTACTATTTTATTACATACACATTGCTAAATTACTATAAAAATCATTCTATATTTGGCCTCAGTTCAAACATGAACAAATTTGAAAAGTACATTTACTTTTAAAAAATGTGATCTTGAAATATTTCAAAAACAAAGAAAAAGAAAGTATAAAGAACAATGTACCCATACTCAAGATTTAACCAACTTGCAAACTGCCATATTTATTCGAAATACTTTTTTCTTTTAAGAAATAAAAGGTTATTGATATAGCTGATGATCCAACTTGCTACTGTTTCTTGATCTCCTTCCCTTCCCATTCATTATCAGAGGTAAGTACTATCCTGAGTTTGGGTGTGTATTCTTACCGTCCATGGTTGTTTTATATTCTACACACACACACACACACACACACACACACACACACACACACACATATTATACCTATAAACACTATAGTATTTTGTGTAATATTAACATTTACTTCAAACTTACCATACTCTAAATATCCTATGCCTGGCTTTTCATTTACATTATGCTTTAGGTTTATTTATAATATATGCAGATTAGTTCATTTTATGAAAAATGCCAAACTCTATTCATTCTCTACTGATAGACATTATGACTGCTTCCAATTTTTTACCATTTGTTCTTCCATATTAAATTATGGTAAAAAAAATAATAATAATAAAAGACTATCCCTAGGGATGGGTCTATCATTTACCTCTACTAGTACAAAGGATTAAGTTAGCTTCATTGGAAAACTGTACTTTTTAACTCTAGGGTTAAAAGGCATTTGCAAACAGTAATTCAGAATAGAAGATTTAAGCGAACAAATGGACAAAGAGAGATTGAAGGGTATTGTATAAGAATTCCTGAAATGGGTTGAGTTAATTAATCTCTAAAGTAGCTGCCAATTCTTCAGTGTTCTTGAAACTGATGTAGTCCTGACTGGGCAATCAAATCACTTCCTAAGTCTCAAAGAATTAAGTTTTTTTAATTAAGTTTTTAATTTTAATTCCAGTATAGTTAACACATTCTATTAATTTCAGGTGTACAATTTTAGTGATTCACTAAATCTATTCATGACTCAGTGCTCATCATAGTAAGCGCTATCATCGATTTCAATTCCCCCCCAACCACCTCCCCTCTGGTAACCATCAAAATTCTTCAAAGGATTAAGTCTGTTTCCCACTTTTCGTAATTACACATAGTGATACATGTCCCACTTTAAAAATACACATACATCAAAATCTCAACATTATTTTTGAGGGGGATTGTGGATAATTTTATATGTTTTTTTGTATTATATTAGTAAGTTTTCTAAAAGAACACATTTTATAAAGGGAAAAAGTAATGCTTTAGTGAGTATCTTTATGTATGCATACCCCCACCCTCCACCGTAATTATTTTTATATTTTGGACTATTTTATGAAAACACAGAATAAGGAGTAGAATCATGGGATAAAACCGTGTTTCTTAACCTAGGTAGTACTGACATTTTGGACCAGATAATTCTTTGTTATGGCGGGTAGTGCAAAGAGGGGGCAGAGGAGGCACTTTCCTGTGCAGGATGTTTAACAGCATTCTAGGCCTTGACTAAGGAGATGCTACCCCAGCAACACCCACTCCTCCAGTTGTGACATCCAAAGATGTTTTCAATTATTGCAAATGTCCTCTGGGAGGCAAAAATCACCACTGAATGAGAACCACTGAGATAGAGGTTTAAACACTGACTATTATATTGGGCGCCTAGGTGGCTCAGTCGGTTGAGCGTCTGACTTCAGCTCAGGTCACGATCTCGCGGTCGGTGAGTTCAAGCCCCGTGTCGGGCTGTGGGCTGATGGCTCAGAGCCTGGAGCCTGCATCCAATTCTATACCTCCCTCTCTCTCTGCCCCTACCCCGTTCATGCTCTGTCTCTCTCTGTCTCAAAAATAAATTAACGTTAAAAAAAATTAAAAAAAAATAAACACTATTATTCCTACTATATCAAGACTACTGTTCCCTAAATTAAACAAAATGCTTTCAATTATGTCACTGTGTCCTTGCCAAAATTATCAATGTTCTCAAGAATGGAAATACTTTACCTGAATATTCTAGGGAATTTCGGCACCTCATGGCACACGTTTAGAGTTTGATGACAGACTGGTGAAGTAATGATGGCAATTATTAAACCTAATGTTCCCCTATAGACCACCAGACAAAGTAAGATAACAGTGATCTGAGTCCCATGAAACAAAAGCAACTACTCATGCATAGCAAAGCTTTTTCTCCTACCCCGTCAATCACGCATTCTTAATAGGAGCAGCATCACCCCAAAAGGGATAAAAATTTGTTTTGGGGAGGGTTAAAAATAATCTTAAATATTACAATGGTTTGTGGCCCTCCAAAGGGCCACTACACATAAACATATACACAGTATATCTGTGGTATCAAAATATCATGGGGAAGCAAATAGAAGGAAAATGTCTAAAAGGGCTCCTTGGGAGGCAATAAAAAAAAAAAAACATTGAGAAACACATGTATTAAAAGAGGAAAATAAATGTTATTTTATACTCGGTTTTAACAAGTTAATACAGGGCACTTAACAGCTAATGCTTATTAAAATTAAGGATCATTCTCTCCCACCATTTCAAGAAAGTAATATGTGTATGATAACACAAACTTACAGGGGGAGGGAAGTTCTATACCCATATTCTTCTAACTCCATGACTTAAAATGGTTAATTTTCATCTTGGAGTGCTACCATAATTCCAAGGAAGAAGAGTAGAAAACAAAGACAGATATCCGATCCTTTTAAATGGCACTGATCTCTTGAAACAAGATTTTCAAGCTCATTTATAACCAAAGAAGTGCAAATAGAAGTGAAATATTTTCACTTATCAGATTTACAAAGACATTGTTAAAATCAGAAATACTGGGGAAATACTAGGGAAGCATGGTGAAATGGAGACTTTCCATTGGTGATAGGAATATAAACTGGTGTGAGCTTCTGGCAATTCAAGTTCATAAAGACAAAAAATAAATATTCTTAATGAAAAAAATACACATATTTTTGCCTCAACAGTTTTATTTCCAGGAATTTAGTCCAAGGAAATAACTGGATGGGTAATGACATATGTTCATGTCCACTGTGCCACTCTTTATAATAGAAAGAAAAAAATCTAAATGGGTATCATCAAAAACTGATTAAACTATACTAAATCTACATAATGAATGAAA